CTTGTGATGAAACTAAGCCAGAGTAAATAGGGCTAGAAAATCAGAGCCAGGAATAGTGTTCAGTGAAGTCACCCTAGTGCAAAAGCTGAAGTAATAAAGAGAGCTCTTTACCTCTCTGCCAGCTCCCAATCCTCTTGAATTTGCTTCTGCCTGGCCTTATGGTATTCCTCTCTCCAGCACTTGGAGCAAAATCCCTGCCAAGCAGGATTGCCATAGTAACCACATCCCTTCTTGCACAGTAGCTCCGACTGATCAACGTGAATTCCTCTGCGTTCAGATTTCAGGTTCATTTTCTTCCTGTTTAAAGAGAAAAAAGGTTTAAAGACAGAAACACCATAACAGCCTGCTAGGAATAATTTCTTTTGAAGGTTTGCCTTTCAGAAAGAAGTCACCTGCTTTAATTATTTAACAGTTCCATAGCAACAAAATACATGGCACAGGAGGAAGGGCACAGTTATATAACTATGGAGCCCCAAAGCCACAACATTAGCTTGTGTTTGCAGAGCTGTGACCTGCAAACAGCACCAGGCTGGAGCAGTTCAGCAGTGCCTACCACACAGCCACCAACACAGGGAGGGAGAAAGGCCCAAGTCTCTGATCTCAGCAGCACATTGTTCCACCAGTCAGAGGCACAAAGCAATGGAGGGAAAAAGAAACAGTCACCAAGGAAGGAAGCAAACTGAGCAAGAGACAGAAGGTAAATAGGTTTGTGTCCAGACCAAGGCTCTTCCTGCAAAGAACCACACTGGGGAGGCTTTAGGTAACATATCCTTGACCTCAAAGAATGTCTTCAATGCACAGTGAGGTACCACAGCTGCCCCAGCTGGGTAGGAGCTGCATCTCCATTTCCTTCAGCACCCAAGTTACTTCAGAGTTGAGTTGGGTATGTGCATACAGCACAGCTCTATAGAATTTAAATATAGTGACTGCAACAAAAAGATTCTCATGCCTACACCAGCACTGTGCCAAGCCTGTCTTCCAAGGATCCAGCCCTCCCCTTCTCCTGCTTGACAGAAAGCATCCCACACACCAGCTCGCTCCAAAGGCATTTCAACTACTTTGTTCCAGTGGTAAATGCTGGATTCATTTTGGAAGAAAAGCAGCACAGGATAGTCTGCATTAGCAAGTTTAAGGTCTGCAGATGAAAATATTAACACTTGCATTGCAATACTGACAAACACAGGAAGGCAGTGGAAAACAGGTCTTGGCCAGCAAATTCAGCCTCTTATTCTTCCTGCCATCCTCAGCAGAGGATGCTTAGTGCAAGCTGAGAAGCACTCAGCAATTTGCTTTCTTGCTCTCACACTGGCAACCAGAGGTGCCCCAGGACACCCTTCACCTACCAGGAGAAGCAGATTTTGAAACCAACCCTGCCCTGGAGCTGGAGGACCCTGAGCTCCTCTCCAGCACGAGGCCTCAGATCACACCAGGCAAACAGAACACGCTTGGAGACGCCACGTGTGGAAAGCAAGATGAAAAGTGATTTTCTTAAACTGAACAATGTCAGTAACTGTGTCAGACTTCTCTCGTTTTCCTCTGAAATTCAGCCCCTAACTCTTCTCTGGGCCAAGCAGCAAAACAGATGGGACATGCACAACTCTCATGGGCACTGATAGTTTTCTCCCATGGGAAGGAACAGCTCTTTTGTTCCAAACTGAATGATCTAAGATCAATCATTTTAAAAGACTGATAACATTTAACATTTCCCACTAATCTAATCAAGTTATTTTAAGTGAAGTAACAGGAAACACATATGATTTTCTCTGAGGGGGGGAACAAATTAAATATTCCACCTTATCTACCTAAGTATTAAGGTTCTTTATACTAACTTCTTTTCTACCTTCAAAGGAAATAATGAGTTTCTAAAAATAATCTAAAAATAGTTCCACTGTAGAGACCTGTACATTAAGGGAATCAGTTTCTTAATGGCATAATTTATAAAGACACATTTTCTCATTTATGTAGGCAGAGAGAAGCTAAATACTCTTCTCTTTCCCACTGAAATGTCTGACAGTGAGAGACACTAATGTGCTTCTGCAAAGCAAAATGAAAAAAAACCCACCTACATTTTAAATATTTGAGACCTTTACTTCATTCCCACATGGACAAATCTGTGGATTTCTATGTCCAGAAATTTAAGCACACGCTAGTGTCACAATTCCCTCAGGCATCCTCTTCACCCTCTGTGTACATGAGAACTAAAAATAAGGTTCTGTTTAGTGCCCAAGTTCAGCAGCTTTGCCTGAAGTAGGTACAGCAGGTCTGTAAACAGCTGCAAAGTCAAAGCACTAGAAAGCAAGTTGTTCTGTTCCCTCCCCTCCAAGTGTTTGTGACTGCAGTTACATCAGCTCCAGACCCAGGGACAAAAGAGGTCACCCTGAATCAATAGGAAGAAGTCACATGCTGCACATAAAGCAGAGGCATTCTACTCCCTTCAAACAGGCAAAAAAAAAAAAAAGTTTCACAGCCATTTCTGCAGGTCAGTGTTAACATTTTAATGAAGAGAACAACCCAACAAGATTTAATAAATTGGAAAAAAACTCTCTCAAGTCAATTTTCAGCAACTAAATCGCTGTGTCCTTTATGATCTTACATACCTGATTTGTTGGAACTTTTGAGTGTCCAGAATGCTGTTTTTTCCCCCTTCTCTATTCCATTCTCTCCCTCCCATTCCAGCTAAAGGTGTATCATTCCTCACTGAAGGATCAACTCGATGTGTTCGCACAGTCACAGCACTTACTTTGCATGGTCAGACCTCTTATTTTCACATGACCTATCCAAAGTTCACTTCTGAGCAATATAATCCAAGAGAAAGAACAATGTGTTGTTTTCCTGGAGCTGGAGAGGCAGGCAACTCTGAAGAGCTTTCATACCACCTGACCAGCGAGAAGTCAGGAAAACAACAGTAAGGAAGGTAACAAACCTCCACCAAGTAGCACAATAAAAGTACGAGAAGGTGATAAGTAAAATTAACCAGTATAATCTGGAGAGATGCAATGCAATCCTTCTACCATCTCCTGCACCCCAGTTAAAACACTTCTCAACAACTCTGAGAAGCACCACATGTCCCTCCCAGGAGCAAACACCAGTGATTTAAAATATACTCATACACTGCTTTGCTTAGGAAGTGCTTCGAATAGCTCTGCTGTGAACAGCACCAGGGAAAGCACAACGACACCTCCTTACACATCTCCTCACAAATACCATGGCACAGAACCTTCTTTTAAGCATTTCTGTACCAGTACTAGACCTAATCACAGGTTAATACCCATGTTAATTAGCAACGTCCCTTTGAAGAGTTTAGAGAAAGAACAGGCTCTTAGACTTAGCTATTAATTTATAAAATCCCTTTCCCCGTGTTATTTATTTGCAAGTAAAAGCTTCTTGCCTTCTGTTTTCCTCTGCAATAGAAAAATGGAAAACACCCAATCCCTTTCCATGATCACCATCATAGAATCAACCAGGCTGGAAAAGACCTCAAGGATCATCAAATCCAACCCTACCGTGGTCACTAGACCATGGCACTAAGTGCCACATCCAGTCTTGTCTTAAAATCCTCCAGGGATGGTGAATCCACCACCTCCCTGGGCAGCACATTCCAATGTCTGATCACTCTCTCCACAAAAAATCTCTTCCTAATATCCAACCTAACCCTCCCCTGGCAGAGCTTGAGTCTGTGCCCTCTTGTCCTGCTGCTGGTTGCCTGGGAGAAGAGACCAACCCCCACCTGACTCCAACCTCCTGTCAGGGAGTTGTAGAGGGTGAGAAGGTCTCCCCTGAGCCTCCTCTTCTCCAGGCTGAACACCCCCAGCTCCCTCAGCCTCTCCTCATGGCACTTGTGCTCCAGTCCCTTCACCAGCCTCACTGCTCTTCTCTGGACCTGCTCCAGCACCTCAATGTCCCTCCTGAACTGAGGGCCCAGAACTGAGCACAGGGTTCAAGGTGTGGCCTCACCAGCCTCGAGTCCAGGGGCAGAATCACCTCCCTGGTCCTGCTGACCACACTGTTCCTGATCCAGGTCAGAATGCCATTGGCCATTTGGCCACCTGAGCACACTGCTGGCTCCTGTTCAGCTTCCTGGCTATCCAATCTTTAACTCCACCTCACACACTGCATGTGGCTCCTCAGAGAGCATCACTGCTAACATGTGCTGTCACATCACAGCTGCAAAAGGGCAATTACTCTGGACAATCCCAACCTGAGAAGCTGTCCCACTCCCAGCAGACAGCCCCCCTGTACCCCAGCTAACAGAGGACCAGGCTGTGTAGACATCAAAGAGCTCCTTGTCTCACTGCCACACACGTTCCCAGGCTAGTCCCCACACAGCTACAGCTTCAGCTCCCCATGGCTACATCTTCCCGTGCCATTCCAGATGTCCAGCTTTATTTTTCCAAACTGTAGTGATACCAAGAGCAGATGAATACTTGTGCTCCGCTGGTAAATGAGGCATATGATTCATATTAAGTTAGAGATATTTGAAGGGTTGCACATCAAAGGTCTCTAATGACAGACCCAATCTCCTCCAGCTTTTTCATAAGCATCTTAGAGCAGTTTTGTTATGATGTCTGGCATGTGGAAAAAAACCCAAATCAAACCCAAACCACTGTGGTCTAATTCAAAATTAGCTTTCCACTTGCTTTAATGCAATTTATTCTCAAGCTCTCAAATACACCTTCCTATCAACACATTTTTCTTGTTATACTTAAGACTTATCTAAACTTTTTATTCACCTGCTTACACAGAGCAAATATCTTTTAACAAGTGCCATACCAACTCAGAGCCTTCTCATCCCCAGCTCACACTCCTCAATTTCTCCTGTCAAATCTGTCATACAAGAAGAATATCCAACAAATCAGTGCTCTTCAGAAAACAGGAATTCACATCGATTTTTCAGGAAGGCTAAGCCAGCTCTCTGCCCAGCAGTTCCTCTGTGGCTCTGTCAGAACTGAAACTGAAACACATGTGTAAACAGTACAGGGTTTTGGTTACCACAGTCAGGGAAGCAAACCATGAACCAAAATCAGTAAACCCAACTTTTCTGGCTGAGAGCCACATCACTTTCCCCAAGTCACATACGTAGATCTGCCTCTGAAGATTTACTAAAGGAAACACAGAGTTAAGACACAGAGAACATGAATTTTGTTACAAGTCCATAAATCCTTAGGACATTTTTGTAGGAATCCCACAGTGGGGACTGAAGCAGCAGCACTCACTGCTCCAGGACACTGGACCTTTGGTACCACACTCAAAGCTCTCAACAACAGCAAAGGACTGTCTTCGAATTTTCACACATACCAGATTATAAAATAGCCAGAAAAAGTCATAGCACAGCTATTAAAGCAGGAATTGTTCACAGTAAAGAGCACGTGCATCCTCAGCTTTTATGTGACAGGAGAAAGGGGCTCCTGCCACCCAAACAGGATCTGTCACCAAGGGCTGATTTCATGCACACATGAAAGACTAAACTTACATAACATCTTCCTTTCAGCAATAAACCTAAGATAATGCTCATAACACATCAGGGTTTTCCAAAGACTGCAGACACAGCTCTGGCTGCAGGAAAAGCACTGTGTGAAATAAGGTTTAGGAGCAGTATAGATTTACCCTGAGCTCCCACATCAGCAGCTTGTTTTTCTTCTTTCCTTTCCAGCACACACCTCCCTTACTTCCCAGGGGCTGAGCAGGCTGATACCTTTATTGACAGTGCAGATTGTGTCACCACAACGACAAGATATTGACTGTGTCATAAACTATTCATTAGCCTTGGATTGTTGAGGTCACCTTTGAGAGAAGAGCTGGTTGGAAAATCTCCTATTCCAAAGCTGAACAGAAAGGGCCTCACGGAATCAATTTACAGACACCTTCAGTAACAGGTAATTGCAAGTCAGTTTATAATTATTACAAGCTCTGAAAACCAGTTTGTAAATAACTCTGGAAAACAAAGCAGTGACTTTGCAAGACTGTTCTGTAAATGAGTTTCAATAGTGGTACCAAAGTTCATTAAATGCATCTGAAATCAGGAAAAGATTTCACATAAGAGACTTGGAACAGGCAAGTTTGAGTTGTGGTTTTGGTTTGGTTTCTTGTTGGGTTTTGTTGGTTTTTTTCCTCCCTGAAACTTCTCAAAAAAAACCCCAAAAACCTTGGCACAACTATTAGCAACAACCTACACCAGTCTCTGCACTGGGCTGAAGTTGAACTCTTTGGCTTTTCATAGCACTTAACAAACAACTTCAATTCTTCTCATCAAAAAAACATCAAAGCTCTCCAGAGATGTTCAGTGTGTCTCATGAAGACTCACTGGAACTGTCTGGTCATTCATGGCTATTCCAGGACATGAGATTTTAGAGCAGGAAAAGAAGGAAAACTGGGGAAGTCTCCAAACTTCTTACTGTAAAATTCTCACTCTAATTGTTGCTGTCTCACATTTTACTAGTGCCTCAATATTACCTCACACTGCAGACTGAGGGAGTAGCAAGAACTTTGGTTACTGAAAAGAAAGGTAGATGAGAAAGTGCATCAAAACTCAGGGGTGGAAGGATGGATTGGGTTAAGGTCTCTAACAACTGTGCCCTTCAAATGCATTTATTGCAAGGAGCAATCACAGCCCCAAATGCCACAAAATTCTTACTAGCAAGCTAAGTGTTGAAATGTGATTCAGGTGTAACCCCAAACACTCAGGCATGTAATTAGCAGCAGGATAATTAAACATGAGGTAATTTCCTCCAAAGGAAAGGGTGGGGCAGTATGATCTAAGAGATTCCCAAACAGAAAACACAAAAGCCATCAGAGAAGTCAGGAATTAGGCAAGAAACCTGGTGCTGTCTTTGCAGCCTTCAGAGTTTTGATGTGCATCTCTCTTGCAATTAAGACATTCCAGCCAGAGCAGCTGTTTCCTAGGACAAACAGTGCAGGCTGCTAAGGAGAGATCCTGAGAAAAGACAGTGCTAGCTGTAATGACACACACAGGGGCTGCTCAGCCACCTCAAACCAACCACACTGCTGGGGACTGTCATCTGGAGGGAAAATTGCAGCCACTACTTAAAACCTCTGAAACCTAATAGCCACGAGGCTCCAACTCTACCCACAGAGCTGACAATTCTTTCAGCCTGGAGATGTGCTTTTACCCCCAAATGTCAGGGCAGGCCTTAAGCTACAGTTGTGTGTGTCCCCATTAAACCCTGAACTCCTGCCTGTAGCAATGACCACTCAGCTGGCAGGAGGAGCAGCACGTACTCATGAATTACCAGGCTGTGTCTCACCATCTACATGTGACTCACAACTGCCTTTTAAACGAAATCACAAGAAACATCTAAAAACTCTTTGTGCTCTTTGATTGGGAATTCAAGTAGGAATATGGAGAGGATTAGTTGAAACTTCGAAAATCTCTCAAGAAATAGAAAGAGGCTTCTACATCCTCTGTGTTTTTTTGTCAACAGGTCAACCACACTCACCTGGCCACAGATTAAAATCAGGTTTGAAACAATCTCAGATAAAAACTTCAGAATGTTTTATACGTTTTGTACCTGACTTGTTATTTAACAGCATTTTAATACACTTCACAAGCACAAATTTTAGGTCTGGTTTTAGATAACAAGTAGTTAATCATCAGAATAAAAAAAGACCAAGCATAATTGGGGATTATATAGCTAACACGAGGAGGGGAAGGAAGGAGCTGAGACAAACTGTTCTAGCTGAAATAACACTACAGAACAAAATTAAATACCAGAGTCATGGACTATCTTCAAGTCTATAATCAGTTTGTTGTGTAAAGTGATCTTAGGAACTGGTATCATTTGATTTATATTCTATTCTTCCCTTCTATTTTGTGCTGATTTGGGGTTTGTTTTTGGCACCAAAGCATTCCAGGGAGCTACAATTCTCTTCCTAATCCTCCTCACTGCAAAACACTTGTATAACCATGGCCGGAAGGCCAACACATCCAACTCCTGAGCAAAGCACTGTTCCTGGAAAACACCACGTCCTTCACACTGCTTTGTAATGGATCCCAAAGGAGCCTTGGGTAACTGGAAAACTGAGAGCAGCCAGTACTTCCCAAAGTTCTGCTGTAAGGAGCTGCCAACACAAAGCACCACTTCAAAATAGTTTCATGACCATGAAATAGTTTCATGACTGTAACCCAAGCAAAGTATGGCAGGTTGTGTCAATAATGGGCTTCAATCACAACCTCCAATGTCACCCTTTTTCCTAATCACTGCCACTAATTCTCAGCACTGGGACAGATCAGAGCCTCACTCAGCCAGAATTAAAGGGTTTAATTTTGCCTGTAAAACCCCTCAAGTCAAGCCAGGACCCCATCACAGTGGTGGTGCCTCTGCCATGGCCCAGCAGGATCTAAGCCAGCACTGAACCATCCTTCAGAGAATTTCTGTCGCTCCAACCATGTTATTCCCTTCTCCTTATCTCACACTCCCTGCGGATACAGCCACTCCCTGCGCCAAGGGAACAAACCCAACCCTGCACAAGGTGCTCCTAGAGCAACAAACACCCACAAACACATCCAAAACACACTGCTCAGCACCTTCAACAGTCTCCAAACTTCACCTGGCTTGAGTTTCAAGGCCTTTCATCTTCACCTGTGCAGTGCCAAGCCAGGCAGTGAAAATACTTACAAGAAAAGTGCCCAAAACTCACTGATCCACAAGGAACTCATCAGGAACACAGGCTGGGGGGGCATGCTAGGAAAGGAGCCAGTGACACCTGCGCCCCGATCAGCTACCGAAACTGACCGCGCAATTAACACAGATCTCCATCACAGACACAAGTTTTAGGCGCTGCAGATGGGGGAAGGCGGTTTGGCAGCTTTCCCGGTGCCCAGGTGCGTTACCCCGCGGGGCAGAGGGTCTCCCCCGACCGACCCCGACCCCCGACCCTT